GGGAATCGACTTGTGCGGAAGTGGCTTTCGCTTCTCAGTGCTGCGCTTTAACCCGCTGCGCCACCAGGGAGGGCCAAGAGAGCTGATTTTCTTACCGACATGGTTAAGAGTTTGCTATGGCAGCCCCACACAGGCTCACGGAGAGCCACAGACTGGCTTGACCGTGTCAGGGAGCCTGGGTGCCAAGCCCCGCGCCGGGAATGCGGCGTGAGGAGCAGCACGACAAGGCAGGGAAGTCTTGGGTGGGAAGAGCTCGAGGAAGCTGCATGTGGACATGGCAAGCAGGGTCAGCTGTTTACAAGTCCAGGTGGGAGTTAGTGCCTGGCGTGACTGGAACGTCCCTGAAGGGTCACACGCCCCTTCTCTCTGGTGCTGTCTGCCTTCCGTTAGCTTCCACTAGCTGTGCGGTTTGGGGAGAGGGGGGTGGGGCCCTGGAGAGAAGTGCGGTCAACCCAGCCCGTTTGCACTGCAATGGCCATGCTCTTCCAGGTTGTTGAGGAATATACGCTCCAGGGGCTTGTTAGCGATGTGTGAACTAACCTGTTTCATTCTCACTCAACCCTAAGCCTGAGTTGCTGTTAGTGCAACTTTATCAGAGGAGGGAAACTGAGGCAGGGATGTTCAGGCATCTGGCTCCCGAGCCTCTACTCACTCTGCAGCTAGTCTTTCTCAGCCCCCATTAATTCTGAGGGTCGCAAAGCAGAATACAAGTTGAAGACTCTCATGACTGACCTGGGCCATCCACACAGGGGCTGCTGTTGCTTTTGGGGGGCAGAGAGAAGCCAAGCAACCCGAGTAACCTCCCCACTTTGCACTTGCTCCCATCTCAGACCTCACCTCCACCCACAACAACCCAGTCCCCCGAGAGCACTATGGATACCTCGCTGAAGAAGGAGAAGCCAGCCATCCTGGATCTGTACATTCCTCCTCCTCCAGCCGTCCCCTACTCCCCCCGGTGAGTCCTGTCACTTGTGTGGTGTGTGTGCATGTGGTGGAGATTCTAAGTGGTGGTGTGAAGACCCTGCAGATCTCAAGAGCAGAAGCAGCTGAACCCCAGTGTGTCAGGGCTGAGTCTTGAACTGGGTTTACAATTGTGCATCCCGTGAATGGAGCCAGAAGGTGTGGCACATCACACAAGGATAAACGCATGCCATTGGCGGCAACATTGATGGAGCCAGAAGGGATGGCGCTCAGCGAAATAAGTCAGAAGGACAAAGATAAATACCAGATGGTCTCACTTCCATGTGGCGTCTAGAGAAACCAAACAAAGGGTCAGGGAGAGAGCAAAGCTTGCAAGCTGACTAGAGATCTGAGGCACATAGCGGGGAAGAGGGGGTTGAAGAGGTCCAAACAACAGAGGGATGAGCACAGGGGACGATGGTGACGGGTCACGGGTGCTGTGATGGTGGGAGAACTAAGGGGATCACACCCAAGGGGGCCATCGAATACTGTCCGGAAATGAACAGCGATGTAGGAAAATAAATGAATAAATTTAATAATTTTTTAAAAGGTGGCATCCTGGACATGGGGTTCGGAATAGAGAAGGGGGTCAAAAGGCACAGACCTTCGGACCTTTCGGGGAATGTGTGCACGGCGTGGCGACTGCAGTTAGCCCCCGGTGCACTGAGTACCGGAATGTGCTGAGAGAGTGGGCCTTAGCGGTTCTCGTCACAGCGAGCTGTGCCAGGGAGAGGGGATCCTGGCTGTTGGCTGTGGCGCGCTGTGGGGCTCTCCTGCAGTGTGCCCACCGGCCAGGGCAGTGTGTGATGCACCTTGCACGAACACCTTGTCATGTGTCAGTCACCTCTCAGTAAACCCTGGGGAAAGTGCAGGCAAGTCCAGATTTCACGGTCCTGAGGCTGGGTAGTTTGGGGGGTTGGGGTGCTTTATGGAAACATGGTCTATGGGGGAAGATAATAAGTATCATAGGACTTTATTTTTTTTATTTTTTTAAATTAATTTATCTATGTGGACAAGAGCTGGGGTATAGGCCAGAGGTTTGGGGGTGGTGGTGGTGGTGGTGAGAGGATTCACCAGAAACAGAGTGGGGAGAAGAACAGGCACAACTACTGAAACACACTGCTGAGGGGAGATAGGGAGGGTCTGCGGCGCCATGGCTGGGGATCGAAGTCCCGCTGCAGTGGCTGCGGCTGTGGCCAGCTTCGCAGTGCTGCGCCTTAACCCGGTGCGCCACCAGGGAGGGCCCTCTTCATAGGACTTTAAAAGAGTTCCTGTGAGGACACTCCACTCCGTCTTTGTCCTGTGTGTGAGTTTGTGTGTGTGTATGTGTTTATTTTAAATTTTAAAGACCCTTGTTTTCTTATCTTTTTTTTTTAAAGATTTATTTATTTGTGCATACAGAACTGGGGTCCAGGCCAGAGGCTCAGGGGCGGTGAGAGGCTTCACCAGAGACAGAGCGGGGAGCAGAACAGGCAGATGGACGAAGTACACTGCTGAGGGGAGCAGCGGGCGGGTCAGGAGAGGTCTGCCGCCCCATGTGGTCACCTCCAGGGCAGGCGGGGATCGAACTCATGAGGAAGGGCTTAAGCTTCTTAGTGCTGTGCTTTAACCCGCTGTGACACCAGGGAGGGCCCTGTTTTCTTATCTTAACGGTTAGATGGTATAATGAGAGTAGATGGCCTGTAGGGGTCACTTAGGTATGAAATCGACCCAGCTCCAATCAGCTGACACTGGTAAAACGAGAGACTCTGGCTCATTTATTCCACATACATTTACTGAGCTGCAGGCCTGGGTTACATCTGACCCAAACCAGATGTTGTTCTTGATGCCAGAGAACTGCCAGCATCTTAAGTCAGCTGTTTAAGGATAAATTGGGAAGTACGTGTCTAGGCTGTAACATTCCATAAGACGAAGTTCGGGCTGAACTTAAATTGTTGTTTTACTTTATTTTGGAGCTTTTGCCGTAAGCTGAGGTGCTTTTCTTACGTCTCTTGCCTGGGTACAAAGAAGAACAGTGTCATTCTCTTCTTCCTTGCGTCCTGAGTTGCCCAGAACTTTATTATCCATGCAGAGTGGTCACTGCCGGGCCCAGCGGCTTGTGATCTCCCTGTGGCCACAGTTGCGTGACCCTGGGGTCTAAAATGTGTTTTAAGCTACAGGTGGTTTTTCCTCTGTGCACAGAGAATTCAAGTTTCACAACTGACTGCTGTAAGCATCATTTTATGAAGATGTGGGGAAGACTCCCAGACTCCCATTTGCCCCCTCCAGCCCAGAATATTTTTGTCTTGGCCTCAGTGAGAGGTCACAGGAGCAATAGCAAGAGAAAGGGGTACTCCTGGACGTCATAAGAGAGAAAGGGAACCGGGACTTTGAATCTGGGATAGACACACACACACCCCATTGAAGAAGGATATTCACTATAGAAAGAAGCATACAAATGGTTTCAGAGAACACGTTTTGAGTCCTAAAAATTCCACAGACGGGGAAGCTATACACCCCAGTTGGAAAGTGTAGAAGGATCTGGATTCCTGGCGAGGGCCTGCGGCTGGGGCTGACCTGGGACACCACAACCTTGGGAATATTTTTGGACTCAGCTGGTGATGTATTTTGTCTAGCAGTGGTCATCTGATGAATTTACTAAGTGTAAAACTTCAACCAGCTGGTAACTTGGACTCAACTGAAATTAATTTTATATTTTATTATAAGCTGACATTTGGATAAAATTAAGTTGGAATCTCTGATCCAACTTTTTCCGGTTTCTGTACTTAGTCCAGAAAATAGACACTCTCTGTTGGTGACTATAAAGGCCCCTTTGTGCTTTTTGACATAATTTTCAAATCTAGCAACTCGGTTGTACTTCAAGTATCTTTGCTGGATCTTGGCAGCGACACAGCTCTGGGCATGAGAAACACAGCTCGGCAGGTCATACCTTGACTTGTGATTCCTGTGGTCAATCGGAGATTCCGTTTCAGGACAGAACAGGGAAACCAAAGTTACTTTTTCAAAGGAACATTTGTCCCGTATAGGAGAGAGAAATTTCACGGGTGCTTCTTTTGTGAGCTTGTGGTATTTCCTCTTAGAGGAGGGTCTGCGTGTATTTGGGGGAAGACTGCAATGAAAACGTCATGTCTGTTTCTCCCCGTGCAGAAGGATTTACGTTTTCGTATGTGTGTTGGAGGTCTGTGTCTACTGTCAGGCAAGGGAATCGTTGTGAGCAACTTCATGATGGCCCCTTATTTTCCAGCGATGAGAAGGGGAGTTCTGCTTATGGAGGACCCAGTAGGTGTAAACAGGCACTGCCTGGCCGGAAGGGTTCTCAGTCTCCAAATTCCTTCCTGGACCAGGAGAGCCGCAGACGGAGATTTACCATCACTGATTCTGATCAGTTGCCCGGCTATTCCATGGAAACCAATATTCTGCCCACAAAAATGAGAGAAAAAACACCATCTTATGGTAGGTTTCCGAGTGTTTGTTTGGTTCGGCCAGCTTGCCTTTTCTTCTCTTCCCCCACCCTCTTCCTTATTTGGACTTGCTGGATGAATTTGGCAGACATCAAGGGTAATCCGAGGAAAACATAAACCTCAATGAAATTCTAAGTATGAGACCTTTATTCATCTCTCTCAAGTGAAGCCTTGTTGAGTCATTACTGGGCTTGGCATCGGAGCCCAGGGGCTGAGATCATGTTACCGTTTTAACTTTCAGGGCCTGGGTTTAAGTTGGAATGTTTTTGCTGTGTAGACCCAAGACTCAAGTTCAGCCTGCCTGGTTCCTAATTGCTGGCTTTGGAAATGCCATACTTATAAACACCTGCCTTATTTTCCGATAGATTACTACTTCTGCTTAAGTGGGGGCTGAAATAGGGGAGGGGTTACATTGTAACAGAAAAAGGGGTTCTCTAAGCCCTAAACTCATCAGCCTGTGGTCTTCCTTCCCTTTCACTGAAGGCAAACCCCGGCCCTTGTCTATGCCTGCTGATGGGAGCTGGATGGGGATTGTGGACCCTTTTGCCAGACCCCGAGGCCATGGGAGGAAAGGTAAGCTCCTTCCCCAAGCCCCGAGCACCAAGCAGAGTGTCATGAGATCAGGCCTCATGTCAGCCTTATTTCTCAATGGGCTGTAGTAACTGGAGGGAGACCTAAAGCTTCTGATCCTTTCTCACCTGAAGTCAGGTGTGCTGATGATGACTTCATCCTCTTTATTTCTAGACACCCAATCCTATTAGTGTTTGTATGTCTCCTGTTTAGCCCTGTGTGTTTTAGAAAAGCCATCAACATCAATGTTCCAATTTTGAAACAGACGGAACTACATTATTTGTTAACCAAGTTCATCCTTGATTTTATGTTAGAGCTATTTTTATTCTACTTGATTTTTGATGAACACACATGCCATTTTTTTTCCTCCCAAATTCTTCTTGTTGGAAAGTGATTACTTTTGTGATAGAAGTTTGTATTTCATCTACCTTATGGTTAAACTGACTGTTTAGTGCAGTAGGCTTATGGAGGATGTTTTAAAATAGTCTCACTTTGGGTGTGAATTACCTTGATTATCAACATCAGACATCAGCAGGCCATTGTGACTTTGCTCTTGTAGTGCCAATAACAGAGGGCAGGTGAAATGTTCAAGTATAGCGAGTACTTGACCTACTATAAGGAAGCAGAATAAAATTCTGGAGGCCCAGTTTCCTAAGTAACTAGCCCCAGACATCTCCTGTGGCTTGGTCAAGACTGTCACTTTTGCATTCCTGTCCCATGGCTGAGGTCCTCAGGACACCCTGAGCTGACTAGTGAAAATCTGTGGAACAGTCAGCAGGTGGCAGGCTGTCCTTTGCTTATATTAACCGTCATTGCCCTCTTCATTGCCACTCTTTTGGCCATTTAAACCTTGATCAAGCCTTTTATTTTCTTAACATTTTGAGAGGTGGTGTGTGTGTGTGTTGGGGTGAGCTGGGGAGAGTGTATGAAGTGGGTAAATGGCAGAAACACTTGGTCCTTTCACATTTCCTTTGTGTGTTCATTTTAAAATGAAGGTTTCTGCACTTGAAAAATTCAGTAACAGCTTTTTTGAACAATAATGCAACATAAAACTCACCCTTTATGATGTATAACTCACTGCTTTTTGGTGTACTGATCTAGTTGTGTGTCTATTACCTAGTTCTAGAATATGCTATCACTTTGAAACAGACTCTAAACCCATTAACAGTCATTCTTTATATCCCCTCCTTCAACCCTGGTAACCACTCATAAGCTTCTTGCCTGCATGGATTTGCCAATTGTGAACATCTCACACAGACTTTTGGGCCCTCCCTGGTGGCACAGCGGGTTGGAGCACAGCACCATGAAGCTAAGCCAGGCCGTGGCCGCTTCAGTGTGATGCGATCCCCACCCAGGAGGTGACCCACATGGCTCAGCAGACCTCTCCTGTCTCACCCGCAGCTCCCCTCAGCGGTGTACTTTGTTGATCTGCCTGTTCTGCTCTCTACTCTGTTTCTGGTGAATCCTCTCACTGCCCCTGCACCTCTGGCCTGTACCCCTTTTCTGTATGCATAAATAAATAAAATCTTTAAAAAAAAAGAATATGTGGCTTTTTGAAAATAGGCACATTTTAAAAGTAAACTTTCCCCTTTGATGTACAAAAGCAAAATAATTACAGTGAAAATAAGCTAGAAGGAATAACAAAATAAAACTCAGCTGTAATCTGTTTCCCAACCTAGAAGATTAATCATCACTCTGAATGTTTTGTTTCCCCTATCACTCCGAGGGCAACATATTATACACCCAGTAAAAAGGTGCTATGTGGAAGTAGATACTCAATAATGCTAAATCACCTGTGGTTTTTTACGTAACTGCATTAGCAATCCACTTCATGGTTTGTAGCACCTCTTGATTCAGGTTGCTACTGTTAGACATTTAGGTTATTTCTGTTTTCCTACCCAGTTATAAAGAATGCTTCAGTGAGCATCCTTGTACGTAGATTCTGGCACAATGTTTTTATAGTGAAATTTCCAGATACGGAGACTGCTACATGTAGCCATTGTGCCTTGCTGTTTGGACTTCCCCCTCAAGCCAGGGTGTCATCTTGTTTTTGGGGTGAGATCATTCCCCCTTGTTCATAATGTCCGAAGCATCATAGAGCATGAAAACCATCGAATCCCCTAGATTAAAGGTGAACAGTGCTAGTCCTCCATTCAGGGTCATAACCAAAGGCACCCCACTTTCTGCAACATTCTTTAAGGGTGTCCCCTGCTGCAAGTCTTGAGCTCTAAATTTCCATGGCTTTTTCTCTGCTGGTTGGTTGCTCATGCATTTATGGAAACTACCCTGGTAAAAATGAGTGGGGTTGCCCTGATTCTTCTCCACCTTGGGCTGCCTCACAGGGAGATGGATCTCCCCCATGTCTGCTAAGCGAATACCTGTAGTACTGGCCTGGCCTGGCCACCCATCGCTGGGCAGGGTCAGGCCCCCAGGGACATCAAAAGCGGCCTGGACCTTGTACCTGTTCCTTCTAACGGCCCCTTGGGCTTTGTCTGTCGGCAGGTGAGGACGCCCTCTGCCGGTACTTCAGCAACGAGCGGATCCCCCCCATCGTGGAGGAGAGCGCCTCTCCCCCATACCGGTTCTCCAGGCCCACCGAGCGGCACTTGGTGCGAGGCACAGACTACATCCGCGGGAGCCGCTGCTACGTCAATGCGGATCTGCACAGCAGTGCCACCATCCCGTTCCAGGAGGAAGGGACCAAAAAGAAATCCGTCTCCTCAGGGGCCAAGTCCTCCTCTCCAGAACCTTCCCTGCTGGTCAGCTGGTTCACGCGCCTTAAGCTGTTGACTCACTGAGCCCCGGCGAGAGCCTCGCGCCACCAGTGCCTTGTTGTGTCCGCCGCTGAGCGCCCCATGACTCGGCCCCCACTGTTATGTAGCCACCTCCTGCATCTCGGCGCTTTAATTTTGAAAGCTGTAGACTGCCCTTCTCGGAATTCTGAAGCGACTGGATGGGAACCGCCCCCGAGGATCCCCAGTGCTGGCTTGTGGAGGTAGAAGGAGACAGATGGAGAAGCTGCCCCGAGTCGGAACTCGGAGACACCCTGTGAACCGGTCAGTCGGATGGCCGAGGTCCTGGGGCAGGACCGGGGTTTCTTTGGGACTGGGACAGAAGTCGGTGGCCAGGGCCACACAGAAGTCATGTTGGTTTGTGGTCCGACGTCTTCACGCAAAAGGCCAATGGAGAAAACACATGTGTTTTGATCCCCCCCCCCCAAGTTCCATACCTATTTGTAGGTTTTGACTTTGAAATAATGGCAACGTGTGGCAAGTCGTCTGATGCACTTGCAAAGCAGAAGTTGAAGTCCAGGCCTGTTACACCTGGTTAATCCCCGTGTTAACCATCTCTGTGTAGGTCACTTAGAAATGGAACCGTGAACGCGTTTAGGTGGGATTTGTTCCACGCAAGGAAGTTGATGGTGATTCGTGAGAGTGTGTCATAGTCATCTGCACTATTGTCTTTAAGGGAAGAGAAGCTATAAGGTGTGCTGACAGCCAAAGTCTCTTCCGGAAGGGGGGCCACAGTACCATGTGTGGCCGAGGGGACAGTGGTCAGTTCGCGTGTTGAGCTGTTCAGTGTCTGCTAGGAAAGAACAGACTGTCTTTCGGAATTACACACATTTTGCTAATTAGAAATCTCTGGCGAGGCTCACGGTCACTCCTTTTCAATTAGCATCAGGTATTTTGAGAAAGTGTGTCTGATATTAACTCTTGTTTCAACTGAATGTATGATTCTTTGTTAGAATGGAAAAGCACTATCTTGTTAATTTAAGTGTTTTAAATATAGTTGTATATTTTTCTTACTCCTAGTCACATGGAATGGAAATGTTTCTGTTTTGCGTCCTGTGTGAAGCTGGCCAGAGTGTCCCAGGTGTTTTCAAGTTCAAGGGGTGACCACATGGCCCTCCTTGTTAAGATACAGAGTGAGTCCTCACAAGCATTTGGGGATGTTTTACATTGGAGCTGGGGGCATTGAGGATGTGTGTTCAAAGTAAAATTACATTCAGGGAATTACCTGAGGTGAATTCCCAGGCAGAACTGCGCTTACTTGAAAATAGCCTCTCCACATACCCCTGGAGTTGTTTACGTTGCTAAACAGCCTGAAATTCAATAAATTGGAGATTCCCTGGACTTAGTCAACATCATCCCTTTAAAACGCCCCTACTGGGGCTAAGGAAACCAGTAATCACTCATGTTTGACCCTTTTCAGCCTCTAAAGGCACTGCAGCGAGGCAAATAGAAGGGGTTTTGGCAAACCTGGGGTACCAGAAGCAGGAACCCTGTGACTCACCGGGTTCTGAACAGCACAGTGTAAGGCTGACAGTGGGACTGGGCAGGCGGGTAATAGGGCCACCGGGCGCTACAGGAGCTCTGGTGAAGTGGGGCACCCCTGACCCAGTTTACTGTTCGCTTTAGGCCCAGAAAATGGGCTGGCAACTTTCTTCTCCCTTCCTGGACTTAGAGGCGGGCTCAGTGTTGTCGTTTAACTGAGTCGTGAGTTCAATAGCTTTGGAGGCCTCAGCCAGAGGTTACCCCCTTTCCTGTGGAGAAAATGCCACGTGTGACTAAACTGCATTTCCAGAAGTCAGTATTCACCATGGGCTGAGTTGACCTACGTGACTCACTGGATGGTGTTTTCAGACTGTTTTCTGAAGCCCAAATAGGTTGCAGCTAAATTTTTTTTGTGTGTACCCTTACTGTTTAGTATATAAACAGCACTTGAATACTAATTTCTTAGAAAGAAATGGAAAGTGCTTGCCTCGGTAGTAACCCAGCTTAGTGGTTGGCATGCGCTAATGAGAGACTGCAGAGTGACACGCTTTGACCAGGTACTTTGAAGTGGTGATCCCAGGCCCAACCCAATACCCACCCCATCAGCATCCATACACAGGTGCTATTTTACTGAAATAGAAGCAAATGTACACATATTTTATAATGACGTAATTATTCCAATATGTAAGTGCTCTAGCGTGACTATTTTACGAGATGTAATGAAATAGTGAAACAGAGCACTGACTTGCGCCCCTCTGTGAAACTGCCAGGCGGTGGAATCTACGAATGGAGACCCATTGGGGTTTGCGGCGTTAGCAGATGAGCACCAGGAATGGGATTGCTGTCAGCAATGTGCTTTTCTAAAATGTGGCCCATTTTTGATAAAGTTATACATGAAACAGAAATCTGTAACAGCGACACACATAAAGTGCTTACTAGGTGCCTGGCATTTTTCTAGGCACCTGACAGGTGGGTGACACCATCCCAATATGCACAGGGATAAGAATAAACAAGAATAAGTCACCAATGCAGCAGAGCTGGATTAAGATCAAAGCAGTTTGCTTCTGACACTCTTGCTTATAATCAATTTAATGCTCAGGCGGGCTGCCTTCAGTTTAAGGAATACTTGCATCCTGAAAAATCCAACCCATGTGAAAATTAGGCTAAAAATTCCCGGCGGGCTTATACATAAAATGAAATTACAGTCCCAGATGATTCTAAACTGGGTTTCCATCTACATAATTAAGTGTAGTGGAGCAATTGGAAGTTGTGTTGATGGCGCCAGATTTTTCTCGGGAGGGGTCTGACTCATTGGGCTTTTGTAGCATCAAGACCCACCTGTGAAAGTAAATGCAAGTAACCAGCAGCCTCCCCATCTGGGCCTCTCAGAAGCCCTCACATTTCCAAAGCTGCCTCTAGGGGGCTGTACCACCTGCCGGAGAACAAGTGATTTAAAAGAAATCCGGTACTGTAGACTAGAATTTCTGTCTTCGTCGTATATGTCTGCCCATTTTCTGCCACTGTGTCTTTCTCCTCAGTTCTCTCTCCACCAGACCAGAAGTTTTAGACTCTGTTTGGTGAGGGATGTTGTTGCCGCCTGTTTTCTGCCTGAAATCCCCAAGTCTAGTTTGTTGGCCCTCAGGAAACCCTTAAGGTTATTTTATACACAACTGTTCATTCCCGAAGAGCTCCAATGAGTAAATCGGTTTTTTTCTTTGACATTAGAATATCAGAAAATTGACATTAGAATGGTTTTTTTCTGCCACAGGCGAAAATGGACGGTGTCAGACGTTTGGGTGTTTCCACGTTTTCTACCCATGATTAGCCTTTCCAGACCGCGGGTCACACTTGGCTCCTGCCCTTGGGAACAGAAACTGCACCTCATTTCCCGTAGGAGGAGGCTGAGACTGTGTGACAGGGGTGCGCCCCAGCAATACCCTGCCACATGTCCTTTTGAGCTGGCCAGTGACACTTGATTTTATTCACTTTTATAGTTACTCTGTATATATATATTTTAAATACATGTTCATGCTGATCACCTGGAGGGTGAGTATTTAAAAATCTATCTATTAAAAAGTGACTTAAAAAGTGCTCAAAAATGACCTTTCTGATGTTTCTTCAAAGTTTGCATGATGCATCTGGCCACTGGTGGGACACCTAGCGGACGGTGGAACATGGGGGTAGAAAAAATACTGATATTGCAATCTTCTGGAAATTTCTCAATTGCTAAATTAAACGTTAGGGTTTTATTTTTGTGTGCTGGTGTGACAAGGTTTTGACAAAAGTGAGGCTTAACACAGTGAAGTGATTCTGTCAACTTTAGAATTGCTAGGAGGTGATGCTTTGTTTAGTTTTAAGCGTGTGAGGAATGCCCCAAACCCTGTGTAGGTGTGTGTGCGTGTATGTGTGTGAGTAGAAAAAAGAAATTTTGCTACAACAAAAGTCCGCTGCAGTGTTGACCTGTGACCATTGCTTAGAGAAGAGGAGAGAGAAGATACTGTTCGTCATAGCCACAAATACAATCACGGAGCCAGGGGGTGGCCACACAGCCTCCCCTAGTGGAAATGCACATGGTGGTTACCTGGGGTTCACTTCTGGGTGTCACCGGATCATCCTGAGGCAGATGCTACAACTTTATGGTGCTTGTCTTCGGGTTGATGGCTGATCACAGGCTACCCCTCTGCAGCAGCCTTCGGGAGGGGGCCCCCACTGACGAGGGTGGCTTGGTCCTGCATTTTCTCCTGGATCCCACCCAGCCCTGGAAGCCTGCCCTGGGAAAACCTTCCCAGCCCAAACCTTCATGTCACCTTTGTACTGGGTCTCACACATGCTCTCCTCTCAAAGAGGTGTTTCAAAGATGGGCTTCATCATGTCTCCAGTCCCAGGCCCTGGGTAGGGTTAGGGAGAGTCTCACTTTCTCTCTTGGCACATTGTATGTCCTCATGTTGCTGAAGAAATGATTGGGTATTAGAAAAGATTATATTGGGCCCTCCCTGATGGCACAACCAGTTAAAACAAAAACACTGTGAAGCTCTCGGCAGTCACTGTAACACAAGTTTGATTCCCGGCCAGGGAGCTGACCCACATGGCACAGCAGATCTCTCTTGACCTGCCTCCTGCTCCCCTCAGCAGTGTGTTTCAGTCAATCTGCCTGTTCTGCTCTCCATTCTGTCTGGTGAATCCTCCCCCCCCCACCCCCATGCCTCTGGTCTATACCCCGGCTCTCGTAAGCATAAATAAATATTAAAAAGAAAAAGAAAAAAGAAAAGATCACATTCCTGCCTCTCCCACCTCTGTTCCTCCATGGACCTGACCCACTAACTGGTAAAATGGCACTTAACCATTTAACTATCTTGTTAAGGTGGTGAAGACTGGATTCTGTCTTGAGATGTTCCTTCAGCATATGAGATGTCTTAGACTGAAGATTTGATTGTTGTAAGTAAACACGCAAGAGACTCCATAGTAAAGTTGAACATAAAATAATTTTGACTGTGCAATAGAATATTGTCCTTTTAACATTGCGGGCACTGGTTTCTGTCTCTTACTCATCTGTCTCTTTAGTCTTCGTGCTGAGGCTGTCCTGGGATAAGTATGGAGGGATTTCAGGAGTTTGTGCTAATTTAGAAATCGTTCGCTTTTGGACATTGGAAGCAACTGGAGGCTCTCCTTTTGAAGTCAGTTAATTGTCTCTCCATGTTATCCCTTCTGGGCTCTGTGACTGGAAGCAAGCTATTTATCTCTGCTCCCCAGTTATCTTTGAAATCAGGGCAATAATAGACTCTATAAGCCTATTGGGGGTTAAAGGAGACATGTTTGTTAGTGTTATCCAGCACACAGCACTTCATATATGTTAACTCTTTTTGGAATATTTCAGTGCCAGTGGGGTTTTTGGAATTATGTTTGTTGAGGTAATGTTGATTTCCAACACTGTGTATGTGTTAGGAGTCTGGTGATAAGGTTTATGCCATTTTAAGCTCTAGTATATATAAGGCAGAGCTGGTCAACATGGATTCGCTCATTCTTTTATCTATACCAGCAAATAATGCTGTTGTCACGCTGTCTGGAGGCTTCTGTGTGGTCCGTGGCATACAAATACAGTTTTTACGGTGCAAATCTGTTAACCAGAAGTTTTGTCTGCATCTGAATGCAAGCAATATCAAGGTTATCTCTGGTTGGACAGACTCAATAATTGACTTGACTTATCATTAGTGCAGTTTCCCTCTTTAACCCTCCTCCCCTCAACTTTCTTCAATAAAATAATGTATGGAAACTGAACACATTCCCCCATTTCCTGGTTGGTTGAATGACATTTGCCTCCCAGCCTAGCTTGGCGTGGTGCCTCGAGCTTATTTCAATGTTTCATATATGGCTTAAAGAAGGGAATCATATAAAATACTAACTGCCTTGGAAATTCTCATGGAAAGGAACTTTTATGAAAATACAGAACTAACAGATTGTGCTGCTTTTGTGGAAGCTGCAAGGGGCTGGCCTCGGGTGGCTCCCTCAACTCAGGATTTGGGAAGATGAGGGAGAAATAGGGAGAGAGGAGCTATGGACAGGCACAGGCACTGCAGCGTGGGGTTAGGCTCAGCTTTCATTTGGTTCCAGAGGTGTGCCTGGCTTCCGGAGTGGACTTGTTGCTAGCTAGACCGTGAGAAAAACAGGCCCATGGGTGCACAGTGAATATTAACACACACAGAGCAGTTGTGCCTCATTCTGGAAGGACTGTCTTCAATATGGTCCAGCTCTGATTGCCCAGGAGTTGACAGTTATTCTGTGCTATGGGCCGAGGGTGGGACTGTGGCTCTAGCTTCCATCATGAGTTTCCCAGGCCTTTCCTATTTATACTTTCTTCTTTGTTAGATGGAGGCTTACGAATTTGCAAATATTTAGCCACAGTAAAATAAAAACTTACATAATCGATAGCCCATACGGTGAATGCCAGTAGATACCGCAGAACCCAAGTCCTGTTGGGTGTCCCGAGACTCCACAGCATTTTTGTACTAATTAGTTCTTCTTTCAACCTCTCATCTGCTCTACTCTCAACACCTGATGATGCCTCAAATTTGGTCTTACTCATCAGAAAACCTTTTTATTTCCTGGGGAGGAAAGAGGAGACCATCACCACGGAGTGACTAAGTTGATGTTCGATGTCATTTGTACTCCTGGAATGCCACCTGGAATGACAGGTGTATGGAAAGCATTTAGGGCCAATGAGCAAAGGATAAGGAAACTAGCCAATCGATGAAATGAGCAAAATGAAAACCTGATTTGGGGGGAAGAATTAAACCTGTATCTTTCTAGATTTTCTTTTCCTTTTGCTTTTAGGAATATGAAATAAATAAAACAAGTACAGAAAGGGAAGAAATTTAAAGT